ATTAAAAAAACACACCTAAATATTGATTGTTATGTGTCATGTGGTATGCTGAATGCAGCTTTGGTTCAAATTATATGTTTGTGGTGTCCAAATACAAAGTTTGTAGTTTTGTATGAATTATGAACTCAAATTATCGATATTGACAAGCTAGAATATAAAATAAGAACCTCCTGTCTTTTTTATTTGCTGAGATATTGCTCATGTACTGAAACACACACAATGGCCCCACCCACCTCTTTCTATTTTTGGAAACACTTCTTTATGTACATGTACTTCTGTCTCTGACATGTGAATAACCAATCGAAAGTTTAGAATGCCTCTGTTGGCTTTCTCAGCCATTTTGAAGCATTATGACGTCTACTTTTACTTTCAGTACAAAATTTCAAGCTGGTATGTTGAGTCTTTAGTCGACTTGAAGTTTCATATTTTTTAGACCCAAATTCAGCTTAGTTACTAAGTTTGATAAAGTTATAGTGGAATTCTATGGTAATTATGTAGTAATTTATATTTTTTGGTTATTTAATTGTATATATAAAACCTAAACAAAATTATTTTGTTTCACATCCTTCATGTGCAAAATTTGATAAGGCTTAGCAACCTATGACAAGCAGCAAATGAGTACGGAGTTCATAACTAGGAAAGAATAGTTTGCTATACTTCTTTATTTACTGTTTTATGTTTTAAGAAAAATAAGTTTAAGAACTTATTTGTAAATAGTAATAATGTATATACATGTATAATGCATTATAACTGAAATGTGACTGTATTCTACAAAATACTAGTCCACTAAAACACAGTCAAGACAGGCCAGTCTTATATTCATGAATATGGTAACATGAGGGCACGTGCACAATGTCATTGCAACGTATGTAATGTTAGCCTTGAATAACTAGAAGATCAATATAATAGAAACAATAAATGTGTATAAATGTATAATGTTATGAGATTTAAGCCATTTAGACTAAACATTTGAGTTTTTGTGTTATAATTGTAGTCATTTCTGGAATGGAAAAAGCATAATTTATATTTATTTCCTAATTTTCTATAGTGGTTACAAGGTTGGTCAAATTGACAGACCCTGTATAGTTAGGGTAGAGAAAATAACAGATGAAATATAAAGTTTTACTGAAAACAAACATTTGAAATGTACTTAGGAGGTTTTAGAGATTACACAAATAATAATTTAATATTTTTGGGGCAAAGAATAGTTTTTTAATCATAACGTGAAAATCACTTTGCACTCGGATTAATAACAAAACAGATTTAATATTTTCACAAACAAATCTATAGTAAAAATACTTTATTAAAAATCTGATTTTTTGTGTACAGAAGACTTGTAATCTTTACTAAACTTCTACCAAATTTTGTGAAGATACACATACTCCATTAAAAGTTATAGTAGCAAAACTTAACATGCACAAATGTGTATATGAACTCGTGTATTTTATACTGAGCCTGTTGCAAAAGGATTAATATATGCATCCATGATAACTTATGATTTATCTTAGTTACAAATGGGAGTGTTAGCGATAATGGAGTAGTAATATCACAGGTAGACGATATTGTGAAGTACGTAATAACATACCCTTACTTAGATGCTTTTTCCTGCTCAATGCCATTTTGAATGACTAACTGTTAGCAGTTGTCATCATTATTTTTATGGTAACATGTTCACTATTAGAGTATACCATGTATTGTGGGAGTGACTGATGATTTTCAAGCAGGTGGGATAGCAGCTTTCTATCCAGCCAGTAAGAGTTTTTCCCTTTTCATTGAATATTGTGATAAGGAAATAATGCTATTGTGAAATCCACCATCACATTAGTGACAGCAGATTATATACACTTTACTCATGTCACCAGCAGATTGGACATCTAAACTAAGCTATGGGAGAAACAACTGGAAGAAGATAATGTGCAGCCACTAAAATATGGAAAATATAGATGGTGGAAGTTTTTTACAGTTGGGAACAAACCTAAAATTCTTTATGCACTTCCTTCAGTAAGAGATATCAAAATTTATCTTCCATAAGTCTCTTTTATTACAAATATAATGTTTATTATAATAGCATATTGATAACATTATCCCCAAGGTATTAAGAAAAGGTCTGTCAGTTTGTTGAATTAATTTTTATGGCTTTAATGTTATATTGGTAATAGCAGTGTTTAAGTTTTTAAATGCCTGTAATGAGCTTGGGTTATTGCACTTTTAATTGTGATTAAGAAGTAAGCTTACCTTTAACTGTGCTGTACTAACAAATCTGTATTAGGATGATGCATCTGTGGTAGTCCCCGGGCAAGAAGATGTATTATAATTCCATCTGTTGTTTTTTATATGAGTTCTTCCTGTTTCCTTATGTCAGTAGATGTTATTTGTAGTATGTCAAAAGTATTTCCTTTTCAAATGTGTTACACTTAACACTTTGAAATTATCAGCATGAGAAAGGAAATGCATTCAGGAGGATAACCTGTGAAATATTTCATAGTACAGATATGCCTGTTATGAGCTTAGAGAGACCTAGAGTTGGAAGGCCTCCTGCTTTTACTGCCACTATTAGAAGGCAGCATCACTGCATGCAATCTCTGACATATGTATCATCATTTAAGGGAGTAGAATGTTGTTTTGCTTCATCATGATGATCTGCCTATGAACTGACTTGTGATATAGCTTTTGATTCCAAGGTATTTCAAGCATGAAATTGTTTGAGTCATGCATGATGTAAGATTCACTGGACAACAGGGCATACTCAATGTTATAGTGAACTTGCAAGAGCAGTTTTTAAAGGCTACTTTCAAAGACAGATGTGAAAAGGTCGTGCCATTACTGAACTTTGGGTTCTCCATAGTGTGTGATTCATTGAACATATAGACTCATTCATGCAGCCTTTTCAAACATATCATTGCTATTGTAAAGATACAGTAGATTCAAAAAGCATTATGCATGGACTGAAAATTAAAGCCACTTTCCCGGCAGGAGGGCACGTTGGTAGCTGCATGCTGATGCTGACAAACATTTTAAATACTGTTCTGACTGCATTAAGTGGTTAAACATTTGAAACAAAAGCAGGCCACATAGATGTGCATATTAGGTAGTAAGTACCTTTCCTTATATTCAGATGATAACTGTCATACATCCCAGTTGCTGCCCATGCACAAGACGTTGTTGTCACAATCTAACATATCCCAATTATATATATATATATATGATAATTTTTTTTAAGTAGGGAGTTGTTAAACTAAGGGTTATGATGGAATCAAGGTGTAAGTATGGAGTAAGGATGTAATCATGTGGCAAGTAGGGAGTTTATGAATTAAGGGTTGGGATGGAATCAAGATGTAAGTATGGAATTTAGGATGAAATCAAGTTGCAAGAAAATGATAATATACACTTTCAAATACCCAAAGAAAGAGCAATAAAATGATATAATATAAAGGATGGTATAATGTGTTTAAGCAGACCTAAGATATAAAAGTACAATGCAGCTTCATCTAGGGCTTAACAGGTGTGTGCTGCAATTCCAGGTTCTCGTGTAAACAGATGTTGATTTCAAGGTGTGTCTAGGAACTAATTTTGTTCACTTTTTTCATTTTCCATGCATAAAGTCTCGATTCCAAACATTAATAATTTGTGTGCATTAGCAAATTTCTTTCTCAATGAAAACATTTTAATAAAGTATTACAGAAGAATGTGATCTGGTAATACCATAAAAGTATACAATGTTCTATATTCATGAATGCCAAAATAATTGATTTAGTGCATTGTGAAAACTATTTTATTTCATATAATTGATACTTGAAACTGTCAGTACTTGGTGAAACTCCATAATTACATAATTGAGGAAAAACAAAACAATTGTACATTTCACAAATACATCATTTATTACATGGTTTCGCCTGATGATGCCTTTACAGCTAAAACTATGGATGTAATAAATCATGTAGTTGTGAAACATACAATTGTTTTGTTTTCCTCAATTCCGTATTTTACTTGAAATGTGATTGTATACAGATGTAGATCCTTCAAGATTGTGATATGTATGTAAAGATAAAGCTTTTGATGCTTAAGGTATCAAAAATATGTAAGATTATAGATGGGCCACTGATAACATTGCAAGTTACTAATTATAAAACAATAATGCATTTTTTTAGCTT